GGAATCTCATTAAAATGATATCGAACATCACATTTCAGAATCGCGCGAGCAAGCTAAATTCTGACATTTTAGACATAAAAACATCAGCGTAAAAACTGCATTTGCAGCGAAATTTTTTATATGACTGCCGAAATCGATGATTTTTTTGTAGAGTTGTTTTTTCGAAAAAGTTGAAAATGTACTTGCACTTGTCTATAGATGCCCTCTCTTGCCTTCTATTTCTAGGTAATAAAGAGGGAAACCTGAAAATTGACGATAGACTCGATTCGTAAAGTACTCAATTTGGACCAGTTTACTTACACTTTTCTCTCGGAGTTTTCACAATTGTCTCTTCTAGTTTGTATTGAAATACGTGCCGAGAATTATGAAACTCTTATGTGTACTTGGCAAATGGAAAGAATATGGAAAAATCAAGAATATTTTTACTTTGTCTATTATTCGTAATGAATTTTTGTATTAACGACTTGAAGTATTTGTAGTCTTACAATTATTCGTACATTTATAAATAATATAAAATAGTATTTTCAGCGAAACTTTTTACAATTCTATCAAATAAAAGACGAATAATAATTTTTGCGGAACTTGAAATACTTCATATCTAATAATTCATGTTTAACCTTTAAATTTTTACATGCAAAAGTAATATTGATATAATTAGTTTTAACCTCGATGGTTAGGTACACAATTGTAGAGATTTGATTAAGTCGAGTAGATAATTGTGGAGACATGCTATTATGACAATGGAATTTCTTCTCGTTCCAATAATGGTCTACAATAATAGAATATTCTGTTTTTAATGGCACGATGACGTTCAAAAAAAAAAAAAAAAAAAAAAAAAAAAAAAAAAAAAATTATTTAATACCAAAATGGTCATTAGATTTGGTATGTTTCAGTTAAATTAAAAAACTTAATATATTTTATAAAAAAAAATGTTTACCATGTAGGATTTATTGGTTGGTGTGTACGCAAGTGCACGTACATTGGTGCACGACAATTATGTGAAAGAATTCTGACATAAGATCTATTATTATAAATAGAAAAAGCCAATGAATGCTTATAGCCTATGTAACGAAATGGGTTTGATAGTATCGTTGCGTAATATTTGAATTTTTTTGAAGATTATGTATAATTTTATGGAGAAATTAAAATGCAGAACCGAGTGCAAGTAAAAGTGATAAAATTTAAAACGCTCATAGAAAATAATGAATATGCATTTTGCCTTTACAAAAATATATAACGATTGTCTATGCCTTTTACAACTATACCTTTTAAACAAATTTACATTTATTTTATATATTTTATAAGCTACTCATTTGTAAAATACTAATAAATTGTTACTTTACACTATTATGATGATATTATTTTTATTTTAATTAAGTAGGCTTATTTCTTATTAAATCGATTCAACGCTGCTTCATTCCAGTATAATGTTGATATTTTTAGAATATCGAGCGATAGAAATAACTTAAAACTTTAATGATATAGGGAGTTAATTAATAAATTGATCTGATTTATCCAATAATTATATGCTCTTTGAAATTGTTTTGTGGCAATAATCCCTTTCAGTTTGCTTAACTGACTTAAATTAATTAAACGAATGTATGTGTTTGTGCGCGCGTACGTGTGTGCGCGCGTGTGTGAAACTAAAGAATTAATCGGTAAAACTTAAGACATTTACTTTCTTCTAACTCCGTACTATATGAATACTTTTTTTACGAATTGAAAAATAATTAAAATTTTATAAAAGAAAATTCTTAACTGTTATTTAAATTCTTTTGACATGTTTTATTTAAATAATAATGAATGTGTAATTTCCAATTTGTATGAATTTGTATTAATTCAATGCAACATTGATATTTTCATTACCATTGAAATTGCCTAGATTACCGATTGTAATATAAATAACGAAATTTATTACAATGATTATTAAAGAACCTAATTTAAATTATCTAAATTTGGGTATGGATTATTTTTTCAGTTTAAGATCTCAATAAAAGTATATACTTTACAGTTACTTTAATAAATAAAAAAATTTTTGAAACTATTAGTTTTGGAAAAAGTTACGAAAACTACTGATTTTTCAAGAATTTCAAAGAAGAAGACTAGGGTTAGAAATAAATTTAGATAAAATGATTTTATATTAAAGTCATCTGCATTAAAAATTTGCAAATAGCACCCTCGAATAAATATTATCCATATTTTAAAAATTTCGAGTAGATAAATGTTTATATTTTCATTTCTAATTCAATCTTCTTTCGTGGGTTTTTATGTTACTTTGTCTTGTGAACTTATCGAAGTATCCCTTCGCGCAGACTCTCTTTGGTATTCTTTATGTGAAAACGAGGACTTATCGCAATGTATCTAAGATGATAGTTTTAACGTTCAAAAAAATAGAACCACTAGGGATTTGACGCCTAGTGATCAGCTCATAACGAAGCTGATCGTTAGATATAATAAATTTGAGAATTAAACCGACAATTCATATTATAAATTCAAAGCAGTTTTCTGTCTATTTAAATGTATATCTATTGATATTTTTAATAGAGGTAAAAGTAGAATTAAGTATTTTTCCCATACTAATTGTATAATTACTTTTTATAGGTGCCAGCGTGGCTAATTAACAAGAAATTTATAATTAATTACATAATGACAAATACGTAACTGTCATTTATATTATTTAATCTTAGTTTGATAATATCGAAGCCAAAGTGATTCGTACTGAATCTGTCGATTATCGTTGAAAACATTAATTAACGTTGTTAAACTTGTGATACTTCGAGAATGAAAGCTACGAATATGTTAATGACAAATATTTTCTGTCATCTTCTATCTTTAAATCTTTTTAAAATCTTTTATTTAAATAGTATTGGGTTACATGTTCATGTAGTTCTATTTAATTAATACATTATAAAATTATTATTACTCGTTTTAATTATTTTAATTATTATGACTCTTGTTTTAAGTATGAAAAATAAGGGAAACTAGTGCCTTTAATGAAAAAATAATTGTTACTTGGGATTGTAAATTGTTACAATTAAAATAGGTAACAATTTCCTGTATTTAACTTACAAAACTTAAAAATGTAAAGAAACTTGGAAAAAAAGTATCATTCACGGCTCCATTTTTATACCAAAAGTATGAAATAATTTCAATATTGCAAAATATTATTCACAAATTACATAATTATTTCTATTGATCGCAGCCTGTATTTTATTCGTTACAATATGGACAAACAATACAATCCAAATTAATGTGAATATTACTTATTTGTAACGATAATTTATTAGCAACAGATATCCATAACGATGACATAATAATAAATAACAAAACATTATTTCATTTACACAAAAAATATTATATTACATATTTAATGGGAATTACACTTGACATCGTGAGAATATTGTTATAAAACTAAACTGTAGCCATAGTTTTCATAATTGTAAAATTATATATTTTATTTTTATTATATACTATAAATTATATAAATAAGGTGATATAACGTTACGAATGAAGACAAATAATAAATAAAATCAGGCTGAATTAGAGAGACTAAGATAATATTAAATGTTTCTTTAAGATAATTTCACACATGTAAGTATTAATACCTGGAAACTGTATATGTTTATATATATATCTTTAATAATTCCTGTAATCTTAATTAAACTTTTTAAACAATTAACTACAATATGAATCTTCATAGATGCCCAATATCTAAGTAGTACATTATAAATCAAAAGCATAATTATTGTTTTAGCATTATAATTATTAATAAATTATTTAAATTTTTTTTTTTTTTTTTTTTTTCAATAGAAGTTAACCATTAATTAAAAACTAAATTTCTCAGTGAGGAGTGTATATATTGGTATTATGTTGATATTGTATTAAATATATTAATTAATTAATAAGATTAATAATATCCTAGTTTCATATTTTATACTAAAATACATCGTTTTATCGATTAACATATTATAGAGGCACGTGAAAACGTTCTGTAATATACTAAATTTCATAATTAATAACGATCACATGTCTGGATAATTTGATATATTATTTGTTATATTAAAAAAATCGTTAAATACTCGTACGAGAAATTTTATTTTTTAATAACTTTTATATTAATTATCGAAAATATATGGGCATAAAATACAAAACAGCAAAGCCTTCACAATATAAAGAAAACAATTTGTAAAATACATGTAATAAAGTTCATTGAGCTTGATTTATTGAATGAATAAGCTGATTCATAAGGTATAAATTACATAGAAGACATCCATCCATTATTAACTTATTTCTATATTCATGAAAAATTTAGTTATCACATTTTCGAATGTATATAAGTAATTTTTATTTTAATATGTACTCTCTCGATTAAGAAATCGCACGAGATATGCATATGTATATGGTATTATTTGTAAATTATAGTAAAAAAAATCTATGAAAGCGATACAATTTGCATTATACTTGTACTAAGTAATTTAATTGATTTTATAATTATTGAAATATTATAACAATCGTATTTATCTGATTTTTTTTTTTTTTTTTTTTTCTTATAAATCTTATTAAATTGCAAATTAATTCTCAAAATATGATTTAAGTATATAAGTTGTATTTCATAGTATTAATTAAAAATATAATTCAGTAAGATAATTATTTAAATTAACTAAATTAACTTTTACTATTAAAGATGCTCTTATCGAATTTTATTGTTCAGTGTAAAGTGGACTTTTCATTTTCCGTTTTAAATAATTTTTTACTGTCAATAATGCCAGCTCCTTGGCTATATCCTTGGAAGGATAAAAAATTACAAACTTTTTGTATTTGATTATCAACTTTTCTTAACGTTTTTTTTTAACCTCATTTTTTGTTTTTGTTTTTTGTTTTTTCAAATAAACTCTATTTACCTGCAACTTGTCAATGACGTATTAATCAAATCATTAATTCACTCAAAGGACCAATACCGACAATGAACGACCGCCTTTTTCCTTTGTTCCTCATTCCAGTTGTATGGCGAGGATTTAAGCGAGGAAGACGATTCGTCGTCGTCGTCGTCCACTCTATCTTCGTCTATCAATAACGACTACGACTCAAGCTACGACGAGACGTCCTTATCGCCATGTACGTCTATGTATCACCAGGCGGTCACGTTTGCACCGAGGAATCCAGCAACGAGCGATATCAGCACTACGTCCCCAACGACAATGACGCCTTGCACGAGCAAAGACCTGGAGGAAATGCTCGGGGTGTTGAGGCGAGCCGAGGTTGAACGCAGCAAAACTTTCGAGCAGAGCGTGCAGACGAAGGAAATGCTCCAGAATAAGGGGGAGGATGATGAGGGGGGAGCGCATCAACAGGATAGGATGATTGGCGAGCATCATACGACTGCCGAGGTCGAGAAGAGCAAGAGGCAAGCGCCAGGGGAAGATAGGACGTGGAGATGGGATTTTCGCACGTGAGTCGATCCTTAAAAAATTTCGTTTTCTTTTTCAAAAGTGTTTTTGGCAATGTCGATGCGTTTCGAATTGCCGAATGAATTGTTTATAATTCCGTATCGTAGGGTGTAAAAATCTTTTCAGAGTTACTTGGAATTTGCAGTTGAGCATTGATTACTCTAATATAAGCTGTTAATAATCTTATTGAAATACTAGTTTTTTTAATATTAATTTGTTAATTAAAACATTCGTAGCTACATTTTATCTAATAACTTGCTTTATACTAAAAAAATCTATCTTGATCAGTTTTGATATAGAATTAGAATTTTTAATAAATTTATTATCTATCTTGCAGAAGCTATAAATTATTTGAAACTGTAAAAGACTCTATACGATGCGTATTATTATTTCTTAAGGGTAAAATAATTATATAAAATATACAACATGAATTTTCAATAATTTTATGTTAAACATAATTGACGATTGACGTTAAATAAAGTGAAAATATAATGGCTTAATGTAATTTTTGCTTTATTTAATTGCAGGAGGCTAAAACGTCGATTGAAAAAATAATTCGAAAATCATTGAACGATTGGATTAATAAATAATCCAGGAATGCTTTCGATAATAAATAAATCCAGGTACTTATATTTACATCATCGACAAAAACAAAAAAAAAACAAAAAAAAAAAAAGAAAAGAACAAAATACAAAAAATAAATAATTTCGAATAATTTTATTTGCGATATATGTATAATGTGTATGTAGTGAAGGTAAATTTAACTATGCATTCATTTCATGTATTGGTGTTACAGAAAATTGAGTGAACCATGAAATCGCGGGGAACACGTTGAAAGCTGCAGTATGTTCCATCTCATTCGGAGTTTTTTTTTATAGTTACTACCTTGAGGAAATATAATAGTATATTTATCGAAAGATTAAGGGCAAAGATTTGAAAATGCTGATGAAATAAATGTAATTAAATCGAATTTTGATGAAAATGAAAAGTCGAGATGTAAACGAGATGAAAACAATTTGCTGAACTATTATTACTACATATTACGCGTTGGAAAAGCTTTAGTCAAAGAATATTAATAAACCTACATATCGATATTACATAGAAATATAATTTAAGCATTGACGCTTAAGATAAGGTGTTACAAAAAATGCAAATTTTCCTCCTTACTATCTCCTTACTTTATCACTTATAACGTCTATAAATACTCATAAGTTTAACTTGTAGGTTATTAAAAATAAATTTTTAAATTACATTTAGAATTTTAATCTTATCTATTATTATTAATAATAGTGCATTACCATGTGGAAAATAAAAGACAAAATGGATGATTAAATATTGCGGATGCAAGAAACTCAATATCAAGCGGATTTGATTACCCGATTTTTTTTTTAATCTATCCAATATATGTAAATATATATATATATATATATTGATAAAATTTTCTCCATTTCCAAACCTTTTCAAACATTGCCACTATTTGATGTGAATTTTAAATTATCGTCTAATTCAATACAAATAATTTCATTGTTTAGCTAACTTTAATAAATATTCTTTTCAACGCATCAGTATTTTATTGTCTCGTAGAAAAAATTGTATTTTTTTTTTTTCAAAATATTATTTAGTACAATGAGGTCGTTAGTAAAAATAAATCTCTCGAACCTCTGATCAAATGATCAAAAATTTCAAATATTTTTAATATTTAATTTTATATTTAATTTATTGTATTTGCTTGAGAGCATCGTTAAATTCTATATAATATAGCATGGAATATGCATGTTCTATAAGTAAAAATAAATTTTAAATAAATATTACAATAATAAAGGATCATCGTATGTATCATTAAATGTCTTAAGCAGTTAATTTATATCTTGGAGAAAAAATTTTTCTTCCTATCATACTTGCCGATTAGAACGATCATTTCGTATTGTTAAACTAACGTAATCCTACGTCAATTTTAATATTTAATAAATTCTTCGTTTGTCGTAAATAAATCAAAACATGAAATAGGCCAACATTGTATTAGCCGTATGATCCTCCACTCCCTTAAATTCCATTGAATCTTCGATTAATTTAACCATGAAATTCGTGCTCAAACCTGACCGAATGAACAGGCATCTCGCGTTAAATACGTGGATCGTCCATTTTCTTTCACTATCTGCCCCCACTCCCACCCCCCCCCCCCCCCCCCATCCCCACCCTACCCCACCTTAAATTGAAGGAAATATGCAGCAAGCAAATTCGCAACCGGCTTTTGCTTCGTGGTAGCTCTGTGCCCGGGCACTGCTCATTGGTATGAGATCACCGGGTACAACAATCAAGTCGACAATGAAATTTTTATAGAGAAATTTTGGAGGCAGCGCTTGGCTTCTCGACAATCGTTTCGCGCTTCTAGTGCACACTGCATTCTTTGATGATCCATCGATCTGCAACGTTTATACAAGTATTGGGTCATACTTTATATTATAGGATTTAGGTGAGAATTTAGGTAATACTTGGTTATTATTTCAGTTCTGCTCATTAGATAATAGAGTGACATTTTTTTTTTTTTTTTTTTTCTTAGCTTGTATTGGGATATACTTATTACTCCATATAAAGTAATTCCCATTGAAAGACAGTTGCGACAATTGCGTAGTTGCACTATTTTTAGCAATAATACTTATTGAAAACATTTGCATAACGATTAATTCTTTTTCTATATTCAACATAATAATTCTTAAGTACTTTAATATATCTTTTTCTAGTCGTATTTTATAAAATGGAAGCTAGTACAGCCATTACAGACTTTATACTTTTGCAACAAACTCGGAAGAATTGATTGGCATAACATTAAAGCAAATCTCATCTTAACTTTACTTTTACGAATAAACTAATGCTCCATTACTGTTCTCTACTGTGCTAATCGAGATAGTGCTTTCATCTTGATGCTTTATCAGATTTTCAAATCAATTTGATCTGCGTTAGAGGATCGAGTAAATTACTGCCGAGAAAAGAAATCTTTTGAGCACAAATAAGTCGTTGCTTGTTGACAAAATAGGTGCCAGCAAGTCACCGATAACGGTGACAAATTTTCCTTAGCATCGGTAAAAATTTAAGACCAAGAACTGAAAACGATAGGCTTAGACTATACTTACGACGGGCACTGCGATCTCGATCCACGATTTGCCATATCGACCGCGCACCAGACTCGCGGGCAACGCTATCCTATCAGCTATGGCCTTGAAGAGGAGACTTCGTTCGAAGCTGGAGCCAATTCGTAACAAGCCCAGCGGCACAATATTGTTCTGGATGCGATCTCTGATGGAACGCAGGTGCAACTCCAGCTGTTGATCGATGCAAAGACGATTGGATGGATCGGTACCGGCCAATTGCCGAGCCACGAATTTGCCCAGCCTCCGGGCCCTCGAAGCGATCTTCGTCGTTTCAATCAAACCGGGGATGCTGTCGTCGAATCTGTGTCAATGTAATGTGCGTGCTCTTTTAGCTCTTTTTGCTTTGTCTATGTTGATTTCATTGCGAGACTTTACATTAGCGGCTGGCTTATTAATTAAAATTAAAAGAACCGTTGACATATACAATGAGAATATCAATTGAATATTAAGCAAAGCTGCATTAAATTATTTGCGCTTTTCACTTCCAAAATATCCTATTACGATTTAGTCGATAAACACATCCTTAAGATATAATATGTTTTTCTTGCGTGATATAATCATCTATTATAATGTTAATAGCGATATCTCTAAATTCTATGGTTATCACACGAGCTTTTAATATGTGTTTATATTTGTTACATTTATTACTTAGAAAGTGACACTTGTTTATAATGATAAATTTACATAATGATAAATCAACAAAGTTGTATAGTTGCTAATGTGAACATTCAATTATATGTTTAGAATTGTTTTACTATCGATTAAATACAGTAATTCTATCAAATTCTTATTATCCTTTCACTTTTGCCTTTCATTCTTATTATTCTTGATATTTTTTTTTTTTTTTTTTTTTTACAAGTAAAAGTAAAAACCAATATTGCAGAGTTAAATGAAAAAAATATTATAGTTAAATAAAAATAACACGTATAATAAGAATTAAATAAAAGTTTTACAACGATAATTAAAAAAAAAAAAAAAAATGTAGACGCAATATTAGAAGTTGATCTATTAAAATATCGTACAAAAAGTACCAAGAAAAGATACAATGGATCCATTAAGATTTTCATACAAAAATATGAAAAAAAAATTATCAAATTATACAAAAACCTAATCAAATAAATAAATTAATAAATGTCAAAAAATTTAACAAGTATTTAAATTTTTAAATTAATTGCAGGTGTTCTGTTTTTATGCATTGCCTACAAAAATGCCCATCAATTTTTTTTTTCATTTTTTGTTTTTTTTTTTTACGCAGAAATAAAACGATGAGTAAAATAAAGTCTAAGAGAAAGAATTGTTGCACAATATTTCATGTTTACATTAAAAAATTTTTTGTATAGTGTATTGTATGTATATCTTTAATATCGTTACAATTTAATTGTAACATTCAATTTCTTTTCATAATCGATTTGCATATAAATGAAAATAAAATTTTAAAATAGATTGTTTTTAAATCCAAATTAATTGAAATTAATGATACCTGTTAATATTTCGAATTTAATTAAAATAATTTCATTAAATTTTCTAAGCAATTTTTGTCCTAAACTTTCAAAGTATTTTTCACATTCAAAATATAATTTTATTTTTGTACTTCAGTCTTATTATTTTATTCAGAATCATATTTGTTTCTTACTTTACTTAAATATTAAATAAAAAATTTTAATTAAATCGACAGATTATAAGTTTGATATAGTTAATTTATTTTATATATAATTTGATATTTTTTTTTTTTTACAAGAAAAATTGGTCAGAGCATTTTCTACGAGGTAATAAATTTAATTGAATCTGCAAAATTTTTAAAGCAGTGAACCCTGTGCTACATCGTGCTTT